TTGTACATGAAATAGAATTGCACTATCAAACTGTAAAATATTCTCCATTACATACAACCAATTATTACGAGAGATGGATGATAGCTAGCAGTTGAATTTAGGATGTTCATTTTGTTCTATTTGAGACCCATCAACTGGATATACATGCATCCTAGAATTGATGCTCAATCTGGGGCTCGAACCAAGTTTCAAATGCTATCATCCCATCTACATAGTCCAGATAACCATTAACAATTGCAGTCAGGTAAAGTTTAATTCATTTTTATTAGCTGCTTGAATTTTTTGATTGATGTTCTGGACTGCAAATAATCAAACAACCAGTACAAATGATTTAACCTATTATTATTTAGTATTCTTCATAGGGTTCTTGATAGCTAGTTAGTGAATTTCAAAATAACTTGATACATTAGACAATTACTTCTTTCCCTTCTGGTGATGTTCGTCGTTAGAAACTAATAAAACTAGGATTCACGGAAGGAATACTAATATTAGGAGAGTACGTATCATTAAAAATCTTAACATCAATGACATTGTATTGAGTTCTACTGAATATATTAAATGGCCGACAGAGATTTAGAAATTCCAATTATTTATTCTAAATGGTGGAAAGTTTGCGAATGGTGGACAACTAGAAGCATAGCTGTTGACTCAAGGTTAATAGTGTTGATCGAACGTCTAACTGACCAAGTAAGAGACGCCAAGCTATAGGATAAGTAACAGATGCCAAATAGACCCAATTAGAATCAAGATTCTCTTTGGTAGCTTTTAATGTGATTCTGACCGCCAGTCTGAAAATACAACAGTCTTGAATGACTTATTCATATTGTATTTTCTTGAGTTTCCTTTCCCTACATTTCGTATCATGGTGAACATTCTGAAGTACTACTGTAGTGAACTAGAACACGAGCGAGGACAACCAAATATATTTCAATACAAAATTACAGAATCTCTTATCAAAATCTGAGAACCATACAGTAAATTGTTCATCTGCAAAATACCCGTCAATTGTCTCAGACTTGATTGTTCCTTTGTTTCCACACCAGACACTTCATATTCTCTTTCTCTTCTCTTCGATCTTCTTAACCTTCTACCACCAGACATTTCACTTTCGATTGATGATACATACTACTTATATCTGTCGACATCAGTAGAACTCATCACACTACAACTTGTAAACATGCATTTTGTATCCAATGTCTTGCATTATAATTATCTAATCATCTTAAAAGTCATGCATAAATGATAGGACACGCCTTTGGAACCTTAAATGTTATGTATAATAGTTTAACTATAGATGATTCTTACACAATTTTTAATGTAAAGTGAATGCTTAAATCTCAGTTCTTCTCAATCATTTATCAACTTCAGATAGACAATAATGATGAAATTGAATACTCGGTGAAAAGAAATACTTTTTACTTCGAATTAACATAATATTTACGAAGCTCTGATCAGACTGCAAGGTGAATGGTCGGGATTATTCAAATTTCAACTTTTTGGAATGATACAAACATAAGTTTACATTTAGCATCACTATTCCTCTGATTTTAAAAGCCATACATGATATTGTACTCTACACAAGGAGTTGAATTGATGCTGTCCAAACAAGCACAAAATGCACTTGTAGGATGGGAATCTCATGAACCAAGGATCATCAAAGCCTCCTTCAAAACAAAGAAAGAAGGCATTTCAATGAACGTCATCCAATGCTATGCGCCTAAAAACGACTACAATGAAAACGCTAAAGATCAACTCTACGATAGGTTGGAGTCAATCGTCGAGAAGTGCCCAACAAAGGATCTGACCATTCTGATGGGAGATTTCAATGCCAAGGTTGGAATGGTCAACACTGGATATGAATAAATCGTGGGACGACACCGAATGGGAGAAAGGAAGTAAAGTAGTGAGAGATTTGCAAACCTATCTGCCTTCAATAAACTGATCACAGGCGGCACCATATTCCCACATAAGCGCATTCACAAAACCACATGGACTTCACCGGATCACACCACGCAGAACCAAATCGACCATATCTGCATCAACAAAATGTTCAGGAGGACGATGGAGGACGTGAGAATCAAGAGAGTAGCTGATATAGCATCGGATCATCACTTGCTGGTCGCCAGGATGAAATTGAAACTCAAGAAGTACTGGACAATGATGGGGCGGACAATATCACAAAAGTTCAATACGGCCTTTCTTCAGGATACTAACAAACTCAACAAATTCAAGATAGTCCTCGGCAACAAGTTCCAGGCCTTTCATGATCTACTCAGTGGAGAAGGAACTACTGTGGAGAGCAACTGGAAGGGGATCAAAGAGGCAATCACTTCAACATGTCATGAGGTCCTGGGTCACAAGAAGCACCATCACAAGGAATGGATCACTGTTGATATACTGGATAAGATTCAAGAAAGAAGGAACATGAAAACAGCAATCAATACCAGTCGAACAAGAGCAGAAAAAGCCAAGGCACAAGCTGAACACACAGGAGTAAACAAACAAGTGAAGAGGAGCGCCAGAACTGACAAACGTAAATATGTGGAAGATTTAGCAACGACGGAAGAAAAGGCTGCAAGAGAAGGAAACATGAGACATTTGTATGACACGACAAAGAAACTCTCTGGAAATTGCCGCAAACCAGAACGACCAGTGAAAAGCAAGGAAGGCGAGGTAATCACCAACATTGAAGAGCAACAAAACAGGTGGGTAGAATACTTCAAAGAACTCTTGAATCGACCAGCTCCACTGAACCCACCCAATATCGAAGCAGCACCCACGGACCTCCCAATCAATGTTGGCCCACCAACAATTTAAGAGATCACCATGGGATCAGACAAATCTAGAGTGGCAAAGCAACAGGACCAGACAACATTCCAGCAGAGGCATTGAAAGCAGACGTAGCGGTAACTTCAAGGATACTCCACATTCTCTTCAGCAACATTTGGGATGAGGAACAAGTACCAAAAGACTGGAAAGAAGGACTTCTGATCAAAATACCGAGGAAAGGCGATCTCAGCAACTGTGGTAACTACAGGCGCATCACTGTTCTCTCAATACCGGGAAAAGTCTTCAACAGGGTATTGTTAAACAGGATGAAGGACTGTGTAGACACCCAACTTCGAGACCAACAGGCTGGATTCCGTAAAGGTAGATCGTGTACAGACCAAATCGCAACTCTACGGATCATTGTGGAACAATCAATTGAATGGAATTCATCACTCTACATCAACTTCATTGACTACGAGAAAGCACTTGATAGCGTGGACAGAACAACATTATGGAAGCTTCTTTGACACTACGGCGTGCCTCAGAAGGTAGTCAATATCATAGAGAATTCCTATGATGGATTAAACTGCAAGATCGTGCATGGAGGAGAGTTGACAAAGTCGTTCGAAGTAAAGACCGGTGTCAGGCAAGGTTGCTTACTCTCACCCTTTCTCTTTCTCCTGGTGACCGACTGGATCATGAAGTCGTCAACATCTGAAAGGAAGCACAGGACACAGTAGACATCAAGGATGAAGTTGGACGATCTAGACTTCGCAGATGATCTGGCCCTCCTATCGCAAACGCAACAACAAATGCAGGAGATGACGACCAGTATAGCAGGAAACTCAGCAGCAGTAGGTCTCAATATACACAAAGGGAAAATAAAGATTCTCCGATACAACACAGCATGTACCAATCCGATCACAATTGACGGAGAGGATTCGAAAGATGTAAAAGCCTTTACATATTTGGGTGGCATCAGTGATGAACACAGTGGATATGATGCACATGTGAAAGCGCGGATCGGCAAAGCAAGAGCAGCATATTTACAACTGAATGACGTCTGGAATCCAAAGCAACTGTCAATTAACACCAAGGTCAGAATTTTCAATTCAAATGTCAAGACAGTTCTACTGTATAGGGCGGAAACTCAAAGAACTACGAAAGCCATCATCCAGAAAATACAGGTGTTTATTGACAGTTGTCTACGCCAAATAATTCGGATCCGTTGGCCAGACACTATCAGCAACAACCTACTGTGTGAGAGAACAAACCAGATCTCAGGGGGGGGGAAGAAATCAGGAAGAAGTACTGGAAATGGATATTACACACATTGAGGAAAGCACCATACTGTGTCACAACGCAAGACCTTACATTTAGTCCTCTAGGCTAAAGGAGAAGAGGAAGACCAAAGAACACATTGCACCGAGAAATGGAGACAGACAGGGTAAGAACGAACAAGAATTGGATAGAACTAGGAAGGAAGGTCCAGTACAGAGTGGGTTGGAGAATGCTGGTTGATGGCATATGCTCCATTGGGAGTAACAGGCGTAAGTAATTAAGTAAGTAAGTCATGTCATGAATAAATAATAATAGGGTTTTCCATTGTTATTCTAAGCTTATAATTACCAAGTTATTATAAAAGTTTTGGATCCCTAACAGATTTTGTGAAGTGAATTGGGGCTAAAATGTATAATGCCTCGTGAAGTTTTGAAAGAGAAATTTTACTACTGATTATTAAATTGTTTAACAATACCTCGTGAAGATTTGAAGTCACGTCAAATACTGTGAAGCTGGATAATGCTAGTTTGAATCCTATAGGAAGCATCAGTTCTCTCAAGACTACAAATAAGTATTACATTAGACTACATATTTAGCTTAGATATTTGAATAGTATCATTTTCATTTGAAAAATATAATTGTCTTATCACTTATAAACGTTATATTTTGTAAAATAAATAAAAGTTTTGGTAATTGACAATAGAACTATAAACCATGTCATATACATACGTATCTTCATGCCATTGATAAAATTTAGAAACGATTGTCCAATTCACAAATGAGCTAGCAAACCTAGTTAATCATTGATAAACTTATTATTCACTAGATAGACTTTTAAACTTTCATAAACCTATTGGAATAGTCCAAAAGTTACAATACCGAACGATACTAACACAAAAATGCGTTAAAATATTTGTTTTGTATTGTTTTGACTATGAAAATCTTCTGACACTATGAAGGCCGTTTGATATCTATGTGGTTAGTTTAACCAATCCTCCTACAGTTACATGTTCATCTTAACCAATTAATTCAATATATTAGTGACCTTAACAAAAAAATCAATCTATCGTCTGTTGAATTGAGTCAGCTTGACAAATGGATTTGGATGCTTTTAATCGCTCTGAGTGGAACGATTCTCAACATCCTCATACAAGGCATCCGACAATGACTTCTAAGGGATGTCCAGAAATACCATCTCCTAATTCATCATCAGGAAGCTCAATGGATTCAAGCACAGACAGATGTACGGAAGAAAACATGGGATCTAAAATGAGTGAGTATCCTGGACAATCAGAAACAAATTTTAATCAGATACCGGTCAGTGCACAAGATAGTTTCTCAGACCACAGTCTGAACAATTCAGCTGGTCCATTTTCAAGCCAACAAGGTTATACAAATCCTTCTTATGGCAATAATCCATCTGCTACATTATATCTACCAGGTACAACTTCATTCAATATCGATTATGCACGTCAAATGCAAAGTCCTTATATTTCTGGGAATCCCAATTCACAAAATCTCCACACAAATTATTGCCCAACTATACCACCATCAGGTGGAAGTTCATTTGGTAGCAACCCAGTGAACACGAATCAAGGATCTGTATATCCGATGTTTAACGATTTCCCTACTCCGATTTCATCTCAATCGAATGAGTTTTCTGTCTCTTCCAGAGTTTATGGGTTCGCTGAATCAGCTCCACACGAAGATATAGTATGTTGCCATTATTAATATTGTTATTGTTATTAGTTGAATAATTAGTTTCGTTCGAACAGCTCTCAAGTCATTTTCATTGACTGTTCAATGAATTAACTGTGCACATAACTTTTGAGTCACAATCCGAATTTATTTTACTTGTGTGGTGTATAGGTTACAAATATTTCCACTACTTTCCTCTTCATGACTTCATGGCCTATCGATTTGTGAACGTTGGTGGAATTCATGAGTTTCATGGCCTTCTTTCCCATATCTTTTAATTTGTTGAGATTTTATTTAAGTGAGTGGATTGGTTGAGTGAGCGGTTGGTCGGACTAGATAATCTGGAAATACGAACATCATTGTGGGAGATATTTTTATGAACAGACGTAATGTACAACACAAAGCTCCCATAATACCTGAACATATTTCCAATAGATTTTTCATTTCTTACTTGATGTAGTTTGAAGAATTCGGCGTGTTTTTTCTTCAATCAAAGCAGTAAATTATCATAACTCAGACAAATGTTGGTAGGTATTTCAGTCTGTTTATTAACTTTGTATAAATTCTTCAATATAGGCATGTCGTTACAAACATACTAGACTGCTGTTGAGTAATGCTGAGTTGTCAGATAGTCGTTACATGTGTTTACAGAGTAGTTTCGAATTTATTTTTATCACATAATGCGATATTAATCACAGCTGTGCTAATGTGATAGATAATTAGAAGCATTCGAATTGATTTGCTAACTAGGAATTCGCGAAATAGTGCAATTTAAGACAGGTGGAACCAGATGAGCATAACTGGATGTATTACATTAGTAATTCGCAATGAGCTCACAATCAAGTACAAATGAATCATCGGTTAGTACAAACACCAATTCTAATTATGATCAGTCGACTGAGATCACCTGAATTATCTAGATTGGATATTGTAGGCTATCGAAATTATCACTAATTTATATTGTTGGGTTATTTATTGTGAATGTGAAGAAGATTGTTTGTATTATATGATTGTCAAAAGTTTACCTCAACTATTATGTAGTTGTGTAGTTGTTAACATGGAAGTAACATTAAAAGACACATTTCTTCATACTATCTATCCATCTCGTCACTTTTTCTGTATTTCAAAATCATTACCATTTGCACATCTTAGAAGTGAGAGAATGTCTGTAGCAGATTATTATTATGTTAGCAAGAGTTTTTGAGATGATTATTTTATTCAGTTCCACTTGACTAGTGTGTTCAATTTGAGTTTATACTCACATGTGTATACTGTACATGTGAGGAACAAAAGCTAAAGCAAACGATTCTAAATCCCAAGATCGTTTGAGTATATTAAACATGGTACATTCACTGACAAATCTTGTAAAATCCAAGGTTAAAAAAATTAGATTATCATATCCATATGCTATTGTTGTCATTGCGTCTACTTTATATCTGCTTCATGGAAATTTGTAGGTGATTAACTCAAGTGAGTAACAAATATTAAATAAACAATAGTTGCAAATGTAAAAAATTTTAGTGGAACGAATCGATACTCTTTAGGTTGTATTCATCAAAGTTGATCTCGGTTGGGATACCACTGAAAAAAGAGCATCCTAATTTGGGATTCCTGAACAGTACGAACCTTCTGTTCTCCAGGTTTTCAGTGGTAGCTCGACGAGTACAAATTATAAATTAAACCACAAAACCATTTTCCTTGAAAAAGATTGGACCAGATTGCCAGGCGAAACGTTGGATTTAATTCAAATTCTTCCGCTGAGATTTTACAAATATATATTATTCCTCTTTAATGACTCACATTAACTCGGCGAACAAATATTGTGAAACTATTGGTTCAAATTTAGATGAAAGTTCTTATTTATTATTCTGCCTTTTAACTAAATTCTACAATTTACTTGTAAATATCCATTCTTCTAATGTTAGATGAAACCAACATTAACACCTAAAGAAAATTTCTGTGTTGAACATGACTGTGGGCGTTTAATGAGTGCTCTGAATAGATTAAAGATAAGAGAAAAAGAAATCGTTGAAGTAATGGGTCGTCGACCTGTTGTTCAACGTATAGCAATTCTACAAAAATATAAATCTCTGTATAAGGACAATTTATTCGCCATATTTAATTCTAAATTAACTGGATGTTTAAAAGATTGTTTGATTGCGTTGTGCTATACACCAGCAGAATTTGATGCAATAGAACTTCATAGAGCAATGAGAGGAACTGATACTGATGAAGATACAATAATTGAAATTCTTTGTACAAGAACAAATGAACAAATCAGAAGAATTAAGAATGTTTATCCAAAATGTAAGTTATTAGTTTATAAAATGATCAAATATAATTTGTATTTATTCTCAAAATTAAGATTGTCATGAGTCGCTGAATATGGTCAGTAATTATGAAGAAGATTCACTGTGATTCATTTCAACTGTTTGAGATTTGTAAGAACTTCGAGATAAACTGTTATGCCGTGCGCATCTACGATTCTGCCTCGGGAGACTCGAACCCACGACTTATCAGTATCACGCACGAACTCCTATCCTCTAGACCGCTGAGCTAGCCGGGGTTCAACGATGTTAATGTCTAACTTCAACTAATTCACGAAATTGATCGACACGGCTGTGCACTGCTTCCATGTTTTCCATGGTGGTCTAGCTTCAATTGACTCATGATCTCAACTATTAAAATTACTATATTATTCACAACAATCCTGATATAAATAAATAAATAAATTTTTGGTTGAGATCATGAATTAATTGATGTTAGACCACCGTTGGAAACCTGGAAGCACTGGACGGCCGTTTCGTCCTAGTGTGGGACTCCTCAGCAGTGCACATCCACGATCCCGCACCACGCGGGATTCGAACCAGCAATTTCGTGGATTGGTTGATGTTAGACACTAACACCATTGGATGCCGGCTCAGTGGTCTAATGGTTAAGTGCTCAGGCGCGAAGCCAGTAGGTCCTGGGTTCGAATCCCGCGTGGTGCGGGATCGTGGATGCGCACTGCTGAGGAGTCCCACACTAGGACGAAACGGCCGTCCAGTGCTTCCAGGTTTCCAACGGTGGTCTAACATCAATTAATTCATGATCTCAACCAAAAACTTAACAATCTCCACAACCTCTATACTGATAAATAAATAAATGTTTATTCATTAAAATTTCAGTATTCGATGGATGTGATTTGGTGAATGATGTAAACAATCAGATTACTTATCAATTCAAACGCATATTCATGACTCTATTAAAGGCGGATAGAGATGAATTTACATTTGTAGATAGAAATCTTGTACAAAGAGATGTGGAAGAATTATTTAATATAATACAACAAAACATTAGAATAGATGAATCAAAGTAAGTGTATTGTTTATTCAACATATACTAGTTGATTTAAGAAAATCTTACATAGCTGTTAATTAATTAATTGGATTTTGACTTGAAAACTCAATATTTACAGTTTTATAAGGGATTATATATTGAGAGAGGATTCAACTATGAAGTACTAATTTGCTATTGGACTGTGTATTTGATTATAAATGCTTCATTCACTGAATGATGCTAATGGTAGGTAAAGAGTTTCAATCAAAGATGATAAGCTGATTAATGAGGTTGTGAACATGCATTGATTGACATATTTGGAACTTGTGTTACACATGATCCAACTATAACATAAACAGATCTTTAAATTGGCATGGCGATAGTTTAAAGAGGAAGACTAATAGAGCTCAAATGTAATCATCATGATGTGATTTAAAGTTATTAATAATCGTGCAAATAGAAACATTATCTCTCTTTTTACAAATGGTATCAGTGATTTGGTTTTCTCTAACTATTCTAATATGAAACTCCTCCTGGAGCGGATCGGCAAAGCAAGAGCAGCATATTTACAACTGAATGACGTCTGGAATCCAAAGCAACTGTCAATTAACACCAAGGTCAGAATTTTCAATACAAATATTAAGACAGTTCTACTGTATGGAGCGGAGACTCAAAGAACTGCGAAAGCCATCATCCAGAAAATACAGGTGTTTATTGACAGTTGTCTACGCAAAATAATTCGGATCCGTTGGCCAGACACTATCAGCAACAACCTACTGTGTGAGAGAACAAACCAGATCTCAGGGGGGGGGAGGAAATCAGGAAGAAGTACTGGAAGTGGATATTACACACATTGAGGAAAGCACCATACTGTGTCACAACGCAAGACCTTACATTTAGTCCTCTAGGCTAAAGGAGAAGAGGAAGACCAAAGAACACATTGCACCGAGAAATGGAGACAGACAGGGTAAGAACGAACAAGAATTGGATAGAACTAGGAAGGAAGGTCCAGTACAGAGTGGGTTGGAGAATGCTGGTTGATGGCATATGCTCCATTGGGAGTAACAGGCGTAAGTAGGTAAGCAAGTATTCCAGCATGAAATGGAATAATTTAGATCTGTACGTAATCAAGCCAAGTTTTTATATTGTTTATATTTATGTTAAATCATATCATGTACTCTCCTAACAAAGAAGACCTCTAGTCACCTAACTCTGAAAATAACTTACCCTTATTGTTACGATGGATTACTAAACATCTTCACTTTAATATCTCTTATGCTGAGTACATTAAGATGACAACAAGTGAGCAAGATATGTTTAAATTTACCCAACGAAGTCACTGAAAAATATAAATTTTATTACAGAATCCATTCTTGTATTCGAAATTGTCACAATTGTAAATCGAATTCTGTTTTAAGTGACCATGACGTTGTTTAATTAAAAACGTTTCAAACCATTATCACTGTCGAATATTATCTGTGATTCTAGAGTAATTGGTGTGAATTTGAACAAAATGATTGAATATTGAAGAACAAACTTCATGAATGATTGAAATGTGTTTGATTGAATCAAAACCATCTGAAATAGCAGGTAGAAGGTTAGAACTCAGTACCATAAAGTGTAATATAGGTTGGTCATATTACATACTTTTTATCAACATATCTGTCCCATTATCTGAAAATGCCATCTGTTAAAAATTATCTAACTAAGTGAATGCAATGGTCCAACAAATAAGAATCAGTTTGATGCAACATACAGCTCAGTCTTTCAGCAAACTGTTAGACATAATCCTTCTTTTTTCTTTAAACATACCTGTACATATTAGATTCATTCTTATATTGGCTTCAAGATCTTATGCTCACTTACGAGTTGTATTCAATGAATATATACGAATTTATGAACAGACTATGGAAGATACTTTAAAGCTCAGAATCCGTGGGAATACACTCAGTGCTCTACTTTCTATGGGTAAGTAATGTTAAACATTTCTTTTCGAGAGATTGCGTGTCCGATTAATAATTATGACTTGAGTTAATTTAATTTGGGATTAGTTAATGCATTAAGTAATCACTTGGGAATTAAATAGAAGTTGTATTCCAATTAATATCTGATTTGTAGTGAACAACTATAATCTTTGTATTGATTGGTCAGAGTTTGCTGTCCAGTGTCATGTTAGTTTGGTCGTTACTGTCGCCCAAGTTCTATTCGTATTAGTTTAAGTAACTCAAAGTGTGTATGCACTGCGTTTTGATGAAGTTTGTTTATAAGTAGTCAGTGCGGAACCCTGGGACTAGGTTTCGTGCTAGTTGATACTCACTCATCAGCAAGGCTAGCAATCAGCAATTAGAGCTGGATAAAATGATACTGTTCATCATTCAGTTATTAATTGCTGTGATTATATTATTCGCGACCCAAATAACTCGTTGGTAACGCCTCAGAGACGGGTTCGAATCCTCCATGCTTTGAGGTCCCATCAAGATTTCAGGTATGCCTTCCAAACAAACAATCTAGATCCAGATTACTTAGTAGACTATCCCCGACTTTTTAATTTGTCTATTCATAGCATCATAACTAGGTAATTGACTTATTTTAGTGAAGTCACCAAGTTCCTGTCCTACAATGAGGATACTCTCCAGAACATAAATCTTTACTTTACTTTGCTATATACTACAATAATGTTTGTATATGTTTATATAATGTTTATATAAATTCAAATTCAAATGAGTGAACAGTTGAATGATTCACGCTTATTGACTGAAAAACAGAATTTATGATCCGATAGGATTAATTAATTCATGTAGTAACTTGAATAGAGATTTGTTGTGGATGGACACGTACATTATCGATCGGCAAACTAATATTTATTTATTTATTTATTTAAACACATAAACATTGGTATAAGGAAGCACCACCAAACGGATATGCGCTACATAAATAATTCGATTTGTGCAAGGGCTGGGATACTGCCCGTGTGTCCAAACCGCAGCACAGGGTTTTCTCAGGGGGCCACATCCCGAGACATTGACCTGAAGGTCTAATCCACAAGACAGTGGAGCGATTTATGGAGATGCAGTCCTACGGCAGACGGTGACCAACGATATCTTCATTCACCATTTTTCCCTTGAGGATCTTGGAGCCCATGTGCACAATTGGTTTGGAATCATGGTTTTTCAACTCCCCTAGTTAAACTCTCCGTGTTCACCAACCCGGTCGAAGGGCCCAACATTCACTTTTCGTTCCATCAATTTCGTTAACAACATTTCCGTTGCGAGAAGGCACTATGTATATGATCTATGTATATATATATATATATTAATAATAATAATGACCATTAAATTTTCTCTATTTTATTTATTTCAATCACATTAATTGAATTGGATTTCAGTTCATTGTATACAAAATAAACCACGATATTTTGCAGAAAAATTATTCAAAGCCATGCAATGTGCTGAAACAGCTGATAAAGCACTTATACGTATTATTGTCAGTCGTTGTGAAATTGATTTGAAAAATATCATGAATGAGTTTCATAAAATAAAAGGAAAAAGTTTGCATGAATGCATAGATGTAAGTGTGAATAATATTTATTAGATGATAATTTATTCTAATTATTGTCACTTTACTGCATGTTCAACATTGATATATTTCTTCTAAATGACGAATGGACTGAAATAAGGCAACTCTTGGAAAACTAAGAGCAGTAGATTATCATTCTGTCCAATTATGGGACTGACTCCTCATCGGTATGAATCTGAGAGTCGGTAGTCGAATACAGATATTTCGATATCACGCATAAACTTTTAAAATCTAGATGTATGTGACCGGATCCGAGGAAACACAAGTCTCATTTTAATCAATCTACAAACTTATACGGAAATCTTCAACTGCCTTCCATGAGTACCAACGACAAAACAGAAACAAATTAAACTCAATAATTAGGCATTCTCATTGAAGAGTTCCATGGTTCGACGAAATAACAGTCCAGTGCTGTCAAATACTCATTAGTTGTCTAAATTGTATCAGTTCGTGATTCTGATCGAGTTCAACTATCTTCACAAGCCAAATATAATGAATGATTTACATTCCACGGTAAACTTATTTGCTTGGAATTGAAAATTATTTTTCTGTGTTAATCTATAACCCATGGAAATCTGTGTGAACAATAATGCTGAATATTACTGAGTATTATTGCTTCAACCAAATGCTTCTCGAAAAACGTCTGCGTTCATGTCTAATGATGCACACATCACATTTGCAGTCTCACACTTTATTGATTCACCAAATTTCAAAATGCTTCCGAAAACAATGACAATTCTCACTTAGTCTAGTTTTTCTTAGAACAAGTTGTGTCAAGAGTTTTACAATGGTAAATACATTTAATCAGTGTTAAATATAAATTGATTAGCTTGATCAGGGTGTGTTGTATCAGTAACCATGACTGAACCAATCAGCGTTAACAGGATGAACTTGTTTTCAATGTTCAGGTGTTCATCAGCTAACAATTGACACAGAAATTTCATGGTTGTATTACATGTTGCTGAAACCTGATTATAACAACAAATTGAAGAGTTTCGACATGTTTCGAAATACAGTTCTAAGAAGACTAGACCATCCTGCATCCACGTATAGATGTGTGCGTGTTTCTCTGATTTGATGATAACGTCAGATCACTTCGGAAATTAATCAATTGAACAAGAACCTTCATATTTAATCTCCCACTATTGTTTCCACTAGATTATCTTCCATCTTGATAAATCCCAGTGTTTCATTTGTAGCATACTAGTTCGACTTATGTGAATGTATGTCATATTCTACATTGATAATAATTGATGGCATAATTTGTAGCAAATTCTACCATGCAATACTTGTGCATTGAAATTACTTATCAAGTGATCAAACGTGATAATGGGAAATAATTTTACAAATTTTATTTCTCAAATATATTTTATTTTAGTTTAATTGTTGGTGTTTAAGAAACGACCAGGTGAATCTATTTATTGATCGAAGTTTATGGAATGAAACACCAAGTAATTATCGTCGGCTCTTAATGAAGCTTATCAAGGGATAATCTAATTACCCATTACATTGTTATTCATACATTTACAGTGATTGAAGTCAACAAACAATTATGAACGTATTTGCTTCGCTTAACAAGAATTGTATTAACAAATGAAAATATTATTATTCACACTTATTTTATCTCCCTATCTCCTCTCTCTCTCTCTCTCCGTCTCTTTCTCTCTCCCTCTGTCTTTACCCTTTACTCCATTTGATTAATCTCCTAACAAAATGTAGTAATAAGATACGTTCGCTTAACTATTCTGCTTAAATGAATACAATTATTTTGTTATAAGATTGATTTGTTCAAGTTTTCATTGAGAGGAGTGAGTGGTGTGAAGCAAGTTGAAAGATATTAGTTTATTCAACTGAATGATCATTAGGTTGTTTATCATGAGTCCCCTAACAAGTCAAATCGGAGAACAACAAAGGAGAGATACATTCAGTGTTACTTCATGACTTTTAAATAAATCATGCAGCAAATCGAACCGTGACTTCTTCATGTTGTGTATTGACCAGATAGAATGAAATATGCATGTTTTAGAATGCATTCAGTTTTCGATCTAGTAATAGACATTGATTAATCTGGTGAAGACCACCTTGTTGAACGAAAATATTTCACTCAACTTCAGTTTACTTAACATTAATCCTCATCCTCCCAATAATATTTTGTGCTGATTGACAAATTATGAATACGTCAATAAAGTAATTGATAACTGTATTCGAGATCAGTTTGATTGCTAAATACTTGAAAGTGCATTATCCTATTTTAAAAACACACTTTCGTAAAATATAATAAATATTAGAAAAACTAGTGCCTTCTTTTCGCTTTATGACAAATTTACTTAATTCATTGCAAATCATTGCTAAATCCAATTTAACAAGTTGAATTGAATGAGGCCTATGATCTTTGAATTTGAACATGTTCTGACTCAAATTAAGATAGTCAATGTCGGTTCGATTGTGACTTATATCTATGAATAAAATGCCAAAATCGTAATATGGATAGGTGAATTCTAGAATAGTGAACGTTACGCAAAGCTTTCGTATGAATATTCTAATCATACTATATGTAACATATGTGGCATGTGGTAACTAATCAGTACAACATAACGGGGCACCTGGAAATAGTAGAATCAAAGCTGAACAAATACAAACGAACATTAGATAAAATTCTGATCATTTACTTAGCAATGCAGTGTAATTATCAGCATTACTATCATGAAGATGTGGAACTGAATGTTTAAAGCAAAACGAAACAAAAATTAAAAATATACAACATTTGCTATGATTACAATTACAATTACTTCGGTAAAACTATGCCGAACTGACGACGTTGAGTGACTTATCGGTCGATCAGAAAACAACATCTAGTTATAGAACAATTAACAACTTTAGAACAAATGCAATAAAACTACAGTGAAATCACGGTTTTGATATGATAATCAATCCGTTGCATGTTAAATTATGTCTTATCTTAAAAGAAAAAGGTAGAGTTTGCATATAAGAACTTGAGTTAGTGTTGTGAGTTAGGGCTATAAACCTGTGTGGATTTTGTCACCACCTGACATCAGCTGTGATGCAATAATGCTTCATCACTTCTTTTTCAGCAACATAGAACATTAAATATTGAGATTTAGAATCAGGAATTAGAGTGGAAGGATATTATCTACTTACAAAAACACTCTTGACTGTACTCTGAATAACAAAATTGCTTCAACACACAATCAACATCAGGAGCAGAGATCTCTTGTAATCTAACTTAAGTATCATATCATATTCACAATTTGGTTGCATGGTAGGTATTTTTGAAATCACTTTTAAACATTTAAGAAACTAAACATACCCAATTTTTTTTACTTAGTAATAAAATATGAGTCATCTTTCACTGTGCTATTAAATTCAAGAAAAAATACACGAGGAACTACCCTGATTCTTTCTGATACAATAAATGCAGTTAGTATTGTATACTTCACCATTAATTATTCTAAAACTATCTATAACCTCCAAGTTAAAGGAAGAAATGTAACACCTCATGATGCAAGCCGATATTCTTCGGAAGTCATGTGGCTGATTCTTCTTCTAACAACCAGAACGACAAATACTACAAGTACATGGGACGTCCAGAAAGTGTTGGAGACTGGGAGGACGAACAAAATATATGCGCAAATGAAGAAATACAACTTGGCAGTTGTCAGAATCAGCGAGATCCATTGGATTCAAGCCGAACAGAACAGGATATATTCAGGAAAGATGCTGTTGTACTCTGGCCACGAAGAAGAAACTTCTCCACACACTCAGGGATTCGCTCAGGTGCTGTTCAGAAAAGCACGAAATTCATTTGTAGGATGAGAATTTCATGCATCCAGAATCATCAAAGCATTATTTAAAACAAAGGAGGAGGGGAATACAATGAATGTCATCCAGTGCTGTTCGCCCATCAATGGTATCAATGGTGACGATAAACATCAGTATTGTGATAGGTTTCAATCGACTGTAGTGAAGTGCACAGGAAAGAACCTTACGATCCTGATGGGAGATCTTAATGTCAAAGTTGGGTTGGACAACAACGGTCTTGAAGGCGACATAGACTGCCTATGAGAAATGAACGAGAATTGCGAGAGACTTGCGAATATATGTGCGTTCAACAAAATGGTTATAGGTGGCACAATATTTCTCCACAAATACATGAACAATGCTACATGGTTCTCACCGGATCACACTACACAGAACCGGATCGATCATATCTGCATCCGTAAAGATTTCACAAGGCCAACAGAAGACGTGAGAACCAAGAGAGGAGCTGTCATAGGTTCTTATTGCCACCTGTTGGTGGCCGAGATGAAACTGAAACAAAAGAAGCACTAGATAATTGGAGAAACAGCATTACCGAGGTTCAATATAGTCTTTTCTTTGAGATACTGACAATCCTAACGAATTGAAGATCGTTCTCAACAACACATTCCAAGTCTTATAAGATCTATTGAAAGAAGAGGAAATTACTATGGAAACCAACTGTGAACTGGTCAAACAAGCACTGACTTCAGTATTCCAGGAAGTTGTGGGCTTCAAGAAGCATGATCACAAGGAATGGATCTCTATCGAGACCGTGAGGAGGATTTAATTAAAGAAAGACGAGAAGACAGCAATTAACAACAGCCTAACAAGAATAGAGGAAGTCAAGGCACAGGCCGAATAGACAGAAACAAATCTGGTTTGTTCTCTTCCATAGTAAGCTGTTGCTGATGGTATGCGGTCAACGGCCATTCAGTATCTTGCGTAGACAGCTATTTATAATTACTTGAATCTTCTTGATGGTGGTTGTAGTAGTTCTTTAAGTTTCAGCTCCATACAGTAGAACTGCCATAACGTTCGTATTGAAGATTGTGACTGTAGCGTGGCGTCGAGTCGAGATTGACTATGAACACCACCACAAAGGAACGCGTGCCAGGATGTCCATAAAATCCCTTGGAAGCGTAATATCAGAAGGCAGTTAATGACCAATTCGATATATATTTGATGGGGATCTCGTGGTATCGAAAGAATACCGAGATCGTGCCAGGATACAAGCTTGGTTACAAAGCGTAAACGAATTTACGCGAGGTCACAATCAAAGTGTAAGAATAATGGATGTTTTTAGCACAGTTAAATAAAGAGCACAGTAAACAGTCACTGGTACAATTGGTTCTAATAACAATTGTTTTCATTAAACCAATCGTGTTCTCGTGATAAAAACAAATCACTACATGACTTTGATATTGAAAGAAAGTTGTTTTGAGTTCCATATGTTCTTTAATTGTAGGAATGCGACCCTTGCTTTGCCAATCCTCGAGTTTACGTCTGCATCTGATCCTCCTTGTTCATCGATGATGCTTCCCATGTATGTGAAGGATTCTACATCTTCCAGAGTTTCGCAATCAAGAGTGATTGGATTGCTGTTCTCCGCTTTGAATTTGAGGGCCTTGGTTTTCCCCTTGTTTATGATGAGGCCCACCGATGCAGAGACTGCCGCTTCACTGGCTGTCTTCATCTGCATCTGTTCGTGTGTACGCGATAGGGGGGCTAGTTCATCTGCGAAGTCCAAATCATCTAACTGGTTCTGAGCTGTCCATTGTATGCCGTGTATTCCCTCAGATATCGAGGTCTTCATTATCCAGTTGACCACAAGAAGAAAGAGGAAGGGAGAGAGTAGACAGCCTTGTCTGCCTCCAGTCCTCACTTGGAATGCATCTGTCAGCTGGCCTCCATACACGACCTTGCACTGTAGTCCATCATATGAGTTCCGGATAATGTTGACAATCTTCTCAGGAACTGCATAGTGTCGAAGAAGTTTCCATAACGTCCTCCTGTCTACACTGTCAAATGCCTTCTCATAGTCACTGAAGTTGATGTACAGTGACGAGTTCCATTCAACTGATTGTTTGACGATGATCCGTAGTGTTGTAATTTGGTCTGTGCACGATCAATCCTTACGGAATCCAGCTTGTTGATCTCGAAGTTGGGCGTCTATTGAGTCTTTCATCCGGTTCAGCAACACTCTGGTAAAGACTTTCCCTGGTACTGACAGTAGTGTGATGCCTCTGTAGTTTTCACATTTGCTCAGATCTCCTTTGTTTGGAATATTGATGAGGTGTCCTTCTTTCCAGTCCATCGGTACACGTTCCTCCTCTCAAATCTTCCTGAATAGGACGTGCAGCACATTTGTAGTTACTTCTTTGTGTGACTCCAGTGCTTCAGCTAGTATGTTTTGACTACTCCACAAATGTTAAAGTGCTACCTTGATTTTATCCTATGGTAGAATTAGGACTCAGATATTCAAAGCTCTCGAATTTGATTATATTCTTTTTGATTATCGATATCCAGTAAGGGTGCTATAATCCTTCCGCTACATTGTTCATTCGCAACGACAAAGTGAAAATTTTCTTATTAAGGGTCAAGTTTGTTTGCATTTTCTTTCCATATTCTCTCCTCATTACATTTGATTTTTGTATTGCTTTATGCTACTTGTAAACATTCAGTAATCAGTTCTATCCTTAATACTTTATAAGCGTACAATGTGACTCATGTTTGTCATATAATATCCTAAATTAATTACATACACTCATAGCATTCACTGTATTTATTATTATTACTTCCTCCCAACACTTGCAACTGTTGTTAACACTAAACACAGCTATCAGTTGTTATTTAAGCTATTGTATGTTGTAATTACTCTTTACTCTATTACTACAAGAAACCTTTCTTTTTCCACACAAGCAAACAAGTGAATCATCGCATATGTCTCACTAGTTGAGGGTTGTAATCAATCTATGGATATTCCTTAAAATAGAACCGTTATTTAGACAAATTGTTGTATATTATTGCCATGTGGTATTAATTGAACTTATCTTTCCGATTACCACTCGCGTTATCATTACCAGGACCTAAATTGTATTTTTTGACTATATATGTAATGCTTTACTAATTACGTTCCTCATTAACTTTTGGAGATGATTTTCAGGTCAGATGAATGCTCTTCATGGTGTTGTGTTCTATGATGTCCTATGTTGTGAAAGGAAAAACTTCGCTGACTTTCTGGAACATATCATCGCTAACTTCCTTTTATTTATATGAGCTTTCAGATTATTTCACAGGTGGAAATATTTTCATGCTGTTAGGAATTTCGTTGACTACGCTAACAGATTAACCTATTACTATGTGAGCATTCGATCAAGTCGTTTCTATTACGGGAACTTATGACAATAATCGTATCATCCTGATTGTATTGTAATTATGAGATTTAAGTAGATAGTGATTAGTACCCACTGTAAACTGATATCAACCATCAGATCAGTGTAGACTGACAGATGTTTCAGTTTAATTATCAGTGAATGGAATCAGATTAGTAGAAGAAATAGGATAATGCACTTTCAAGTATTTAGCAATCAAACTGATCTCGAATACAGTTATCAATTACTTTATTGACGTATTCATAATTCGTCAATCAGCACAAAATATTATTTGGAGGATGAGGATTAATGTTAAGTAAACTGAAGTTGAGTGAAATATTTTCGTTCAACGAGGTGGTCTTCACCAGATTAATCAATGTCTATTACTAGATCGAAAACTGAATGCATTCTAAAATATGCATATTTCATTCTATCTGGTCAATACACAACATGAAGAAGTCACGGTTCGATTTGCTACATGATTTGTTTAAAAGTCCTGAAGTAACACTGAATGTATCTCTCCTTTGTTGTTCTCCGATTTGACTTGTTAGGGGACTCATGATAAACAACCTAATGATCATTCAGTTGAATAAACTAATATCTTTCAACTTGCTTCACACCACTCACTCCTCTCAATGAAAACTTGAACAAATCAATCTTATAACAAAATAATTGTATTCATTTAAGCAGAATAGTTAAGTGAACGTATCTTATTACTACATTTTGTTAGGAGATTAATCAAATGGAGTAAAGGGTAAAGACAGAGGGAGAGAGAAAGAGACGGAGAGAGAGAGAGAGAGGAGATAGGGAGATAAAATAAGTGTGAATAATAATATTTTCATTTGTTAATACAATTCTTGTTAAAGGAGGAAATGGCTTTTGTTCATTGTGAATCGAAACATGTCAAGAAATATATTTTGTGAAGCCGGAATTCGTTGACGTCTACAGAATAACTTCGTAATTGTTTGATGACTTTATTCACTGTAAATATATGATTAATAATGTAATTGGTAAGTAGATTATCTCATGATAAGCTTCGATAACAGACGTTGGCAATCATTTGGTACTCCATCTAATAAAGTTTGATTAATAGTTGATTTTACGTGAAGTACTGGGTCGTTTATATGAAAATATTCGAACTAAAATAAAATACATTTGAGAAATAAAATTTGTAAAATTATTTCCCATTATCACGTTTGATCACTTGATAAATAATTCCAATGGACAAGTATTGCATGGTAGAATTTGCTACAAATTATGACTTCAATTATTATCAATGTAGAATACGACATACATTCACATAAGTTGAACTAGTATGCTACAAATGAAACACTGGGATTTATCAAGATGGAAGATAATCTAGTCGAAACAATAGTGGGAGATTAAATATGAAGGTTCTTGTTCAATTGATTAATTTCCGAAGTGATCTGACGTTATCATCAAATCAGAGAAACACGCACACATCTATACATGGATGCAGGATGGTCTAGTCTTCTTAGAACTGTATTTCGAAACATGTCGAAACTCTTCAATTTGTTGTTATAATCAGGTTTCAGCAACATGTAATACAACCATGAAATTTCTGTGTCAATTTTCAGCTGACAAACACCTTGGATTATTCAGTTACAACGTAACAATATCATGAATCTTATGTACATGATGTGTTTGCACACCGTTTACGGACTTTATGAGGTTCGATTAATTTCTGCGGATTCGGGTGAAAATCTACGTAGGAATATAGTTTGTAATATGACGTGAAAAAATGTGAAAGCATTCTGTTCCGACAATCGATGTGGATAAAATAACTTCATTTGAATGATTGAACAAGCGATTTGTCTACAACACATCACATGAAAAAAGGACAAAGTAGTGTGTAGGATCAGAAAGTGTTAATTTAAGTATCAGTCTCAGCATAATGTGTCCACAATTGTTTGAAATAACATCTTCCTTCTCAATGGGAATCAATTCTAACCGTCATACAATACGTAGGTCACCTAACTGGGAAAAGAAATAATCTTATGATAGCTTAAACTATGAATTGACAAACACTTTTCACATAGAAATAGTTTCAGATAGTTCTGATGTTCAACAATCGACTCTTAACACAACTTGTTTTAAGTAAAACTCGACTAAGTGAGAATTGTCATTGTTTTCGAAAGCATTTTGAAGTGCAGTGAATCAATAGACTGTGAGACTGCAAATGTGATGCATGCATCTTTAGACATGAACGTAGACGGTTTTCGAGAAGCATTTGATTGAAGCAATAATACTCAGTAATATTCAGCATTATTGTTCACACCGATTACGTTGGGGATATAGATAAACACGAAGAGATAATGGTATTTACTAAGCTAATCCGTCTATATTAGCAATTGTATCCATGTTTAAGTTTCAGTAAATGGATCATAATAATTGCAAATTATTACTTCTTAAATATTGTTTATACGTACTCCTATAATCTTATATATTGGTTTGCCCTTTAAATCAAGAAATTCTTCCATAATTCGTCCCAAATCCACTTCACAACGAGAGACAATAATTCGAATAATTGTCCCATAATCTTTTTCTGTATTTTCCGTAGCTTTGACTAATTTTTCAGCAAAATATCTTGGTCTATTTTGTATGCAACGGACTGAAATGAATTTTAATTAATGAAATATATATAAGTAAATGTAAGAAATGCAAAAAGGAGTTCAATATACAGAACAATTACTTGCTCACTCAATTATATTTAATATGAGACCAAACAATCCAATTTGTTGGTAGTTTTCAGCAAGTAATCGAGTCAGTGATAAATGATTAAAAATACATTAGCCTAATGCTATTGTGGTGTGTGCTACTGATGTCAACAAATATAAGTAGTATGCATCATCAATCGAAAGTGAAATACCTGGCAGCAGAAAGTTAAGAAAATTGAAGAAAAGTGAACGAGAACAGTGAATGATCGCTGTGGAAATGAAGGCACGGTGAAGTCTGAGATGATTGATTTACATTTTGCAAACGAAGTGTTTATTGTATGGTTCTCAGATTTTACTAACTTGTCCTGTAATTTTGTGTTCAAATACATCTAATTGTCCCTACGTAGCCAGAACTATCTTAAGTCAAAAACATGATATCTACAATGTTATTTCATTTAGACTAATGATCAGAATAAATATTATTGATTAGTAGAAATTGTTCAATACTAAATACTAGACAAATACGTCATACCTTAATACCTGTTAACTAGTAATTGTAGAATTTAAAGATGTTCAATTTCAAGTAGAATTTCTCTTCATATGAAGACCTTAACATCTGAGGGGAAACACGGAATACAATGGACAGCTCAGGATCAATTAGAAGATCTGGACTCTGCAGATGAATTGACACTTCTATCCCAAACACACAAACAAATGCAGATGAGAACAACTAGTGTGACAGAAGCTTCTGCAGCAGTAGGCTTCAAAATGCACAGTAGAAAGAGCATACTAATTAATCAACTCACAACTCCCTTGAATACATAATAGTGATGACTACTTACCAATAGACAGTATACAATCGACTGCATGTCCACGCATTTCCTCTTCCAAATCATGTTCACTATGTAACGGATATTCATTGAATTCAGCTCGTAAATGACCATAGGATCGTGTAATCAAAATAGGCATGAATCTAATAAGTGAAGATATTAAAAAAGTTATTTCACTAGTTCATTAAAAGAACAACGTGTTGTATGTTGGCTCAAATTGATTAGAGGATCACATTCATTAATTTAATCAATGATGTATCTAGAGTTCTAGTTAGATTTCGGGACTGATAGATACATAGGAGATATATATATATATATATATATATATATATATATATATATATATATATATATATATATATATATATATATATTGGGAATTTTAATTCGCAGTAAAATTTCCTACTTTGTACTCGTGAATTAGTCGACGATCTTTACAAAAGTAAGGCATTTATGGTGAAATAATTGAGACTTAAACCTAGTCCAGAAGCAAACAAGTGAGTGAAAGTGGAATCCTCACACAAACACAATTATTTATAATAAGTCACAACAGTTCTGTTTATAAAATGGAATTCTCTTTCAATGCGAAATTCACAAACTAAGTAAGAGCTATGTAGGATCAATAAATCATACTAGTATATCTGCAAAGAAAAACTAATGTGTTGGGGGAGAATAAACAGATATCTTTGTTCAGTTATTTAGAGCTTGAATGACCGAACTGTAAGACAAGAAAGTAGTTGCATTGATCTGGTCCATGTATTGATTAGTTCATTTAGATTGCCGTCTAGTACCAATTACATCAGTTTAACGAATGATACGCTAAATGTAAGATAACAACTGAATGACTATTTGTCCGGAATGCAGTTTCCGAAAGTTCACTTTTGTCTAATATTTATTCCGGCATAGTAAAAACAGTACACTTACTTTGATTCATCAATCCTAATGTCTTGTTTCATTGCTCTAAGTAGTTCTTCCACATCTCTTCGTACAAGATTTCCATCTATAAATGTGAATTCATCTCTATTCGCTTTTAGTATAGCTATATATATTGATTTAAAAGGATGTTCAGTATCATCGTTCACATCATCTTCTAAATCACGTCCATAGAATACTAAAATTTAACGAAAGAACGTAGTTATTATTTAAAAAGCGAAAAAATTGTTTATCGTTTACATGACTGACTGACATCAGCTAAATCAGCATTGAAATCCTATATTTACTTACTTACTTACTTACTTACGCATGCCTGTTACTCCCAATGGAGGATAGGCCGCCAACCGGCATTTTACAACCCACTCTGTATTGGGCCTTCCGTTCTAGTTCTATCCTATTCTTGTTTATCGTTACCATGTCTGTCTCCATTTCTCGGTGCAAAGTGTTCTTTGGTCTTCCTCTTCTCCTCTGGCCTTGAGGATTCCATGTGAGGACTTGCGTTGTGACACAGTTGGGTGATTTCTTCAATGTGTGTCCTATCCACTTCAAGTGCTTCATTCTGATTTCTTCTTCACCGGGATCTGGTTTGTTCTCTCACGCAGTAGATTGAAACCTATATTTAGCGTACAGCTTTTTCACCAGAATGTGAGACCTTTCTGCAGTACGCATTCATAATCATATCACTTATCAGACTCATGGTTTTCAGGCATCGTGGCAAGTTCTTCAACTTTATACCACATAGGTGATACCCCATGATTTACATTTCTGTTATCTCGTTATAATTAAATAATCATTGAATATCTTTAGGTATAGACCTACAAAAGCGATGCATACATTTACGTTAGAGCTAAAGGTTGAACCAACTGGTCAATAACTATGGTATTTCAAATGTTTTAGTATAATAAGAAAAAGCTAATATTATATACCAACTGCCAGTTAAGAATACTACTGTTTACAGAATACTATACTAATCTTCTTTCATATCGACCTAGATAAATAGAATATGAAAAGAGCTATTTTTAAACAGGTAAGTATATTTAAACTAATGAATGCTTTCATTACTATATATGGTCACTATTTTAATGAACGATTAATTAAGTAAACAAAAATAATATAACTATATGACAGGCTTCTTAAATAATCTGATAAGTGTTTTAATTGAATGCTAGATTCGGTTTCCTAAGCTCTCTAATAACGCCCAGGCTAAATCTATATAGCAATTCGAACGCAAAAGAAAAGATGAGAAATATGGAACAAAACGTTTTACTCCAAAGGTCTGTTTATATACAGAAACTCTAGGATATTTATTTATAGCATTCTATATGGCCTTGTTTTCCAGACAATACTGGAGCTCTACTAAACATAATAGCAGTATAGGTAATGATCCAACTAGAAACGCGGCATGTGACTTCACACTTTTCAAATGTTTCTGGAAAAACTGTTATTGAATGTTGATTAGATAAGAGGTTTTCTCAACGTTTTCAGAGCCTGTTTTGGCTTTCTCCGAAGGATTTTCTGGATCTCTCCAACATAGTCAACAATAAACTAGTTAAACAAATCATGTACAGTTCATAATTGACGTGGAACAGTGAAATAATAGTTGAAACATTTAAATTTTATCTACTGAATCATAAATTTCAATCCTGTTTTAATTCGTTCAATTTCAGTAGACTTGTAATATCATAAATTATTAAACAGGATTATGATCAGATTTTACTCAATTTTTGGACGAAATAGATGAAAGTGATTTCGAAATACAAAGCAAATGAAATACACAAACTTTCAAAAATTCACAATGTGAATCATAATGAACTTAGAGCTACATAATTTCTGATAATCCAAGAAGTACTGTGGTGTGTGCTACTGATGTCCACAGATATGAGTAGTATGTATCATCAATCGAAAGTGAAATAGCTGACAACAGAAAGTTAAGAAGATTGAAGAAAAGTGAACAAGATAGGAGAATGATTCCTGTGGAGATAAAGGCACAGTGAAGTCTGAGATGATTGATCGACATTTTGCAAATGAAGTGTTTATTGTATGGTTCTCAGATTTTACTAAGTTGTTCTGTTATTTTGTGTTCCAATACATCCGACTGTCCCCAGTTGTATCCTTATTTACTACAGTACAAACGAACAGACGCCGATAAAAATTAACACGTGTCTATCAGTTTGTTCAATGGCATATACAATTAGTATCTAATGAATAGATTTGAATTGGTAATATTGACGAATAAAGAGAACGAATATACATTCAAGTGTCAAACAGTGATATATCGTGAATACATATTTTACATCTATAAATCTATATGACACTAATTGGTAAATAAATTGAAATATTCAATGTGATGGGATTAGAATGAGATATGTATAGAGAAGTAAGTAGTTCCGATCTATCGTACCACAATAAATTCCTTCTAAAGCATAAATCTAACCATCTTAGAACTTTAAGAAATTCATTTCAAAGAGGTTTTCTCAATAAACACAACATGGTTACTTAATTGTATTTGTGTGAAGATCTACATAGTTTGGAAATGATTACTCATTATTTTAAAATAAACAATGTTGACCATAGAAATTATGTTAAAGTATGCTGATAATATGTAATTTCAAGAGTTGAGATGATGAGTCATTTGAAGGTAGACCACCACGGAAAGCCTGGAAGCACTGGATGACCGTTTTGTCCTAATATGAGACTCCTCGGCAGTGCGCATCCACGATCCCGCTTCGCGAGTGCTTAACCTCTAGACCACTGAGCCGGCCGGCATTCAATTGTGTTAATGTCTAACTTCAACTAATCCACGAAATTGAGCGACACATCCACCATTGTCTTCAGTCAGTTACTATCTCACAACAAACCCGGTTGAACTCCACTTGTCACTGTTTCTCACTAGAACTCCAGGAAATACCTCTTGAAGCCAATCACTAGTGAGCATATTTTGATTAATATCAGAAGGGATTTTTGTGGATATTATAGTATTTTCAATAGTCGAGATCATGAGTCAATTGAAGCTACGTTGATAGGTTCTGGGTTCGAAATCTGCGAGGCGGGATCGTGGATGCGCATTGCCGAGGGTCCCACATTAGGAGAAAACGGTCACCCAGTGCTTCTAGGTTTTCCATGGTGGTCCACCTTCAGTTGACACACGATCTCAACTATTAAAATTACTATAATATCTAGAACACCCCCTTCTGATAATGGGTAGACAAATTGAATTTTCAAACTTTGTAACATTTAATTTCTCTGAGAAACAACTTGTTTTTCCATGAATATTAAGGATTTTAATATCAACTTTAGAAACAGTTAGTATTTCCAAATTATAGTATTTTCAAGGGATTGTAATTTTGATTGTTCATAATGGGATTTATAATTGATCAATCTATTGAATCAGTCTGAATGAATCTTTCAAATAGTCATTCATTCATTCTTTCTTTCTTATCAAATATGAATTGTGACTACAGTGTAGTCCACGCGGTTCCCTTCTTCCTACATGAGACTCATTAGGTGAGCATTCCTGAATTCCACTGTTTGTTTTCACATTGAAACAAGTTTTGAACTATAATCACAGTGTGAACATGAAAAATGAGATATATGTATATCTACTTGACATGTTCGAAATAAAATGAAATTTACATCTTCTATTCCAATTGCGTACATCATTATTACTTTCCAAGTGAACTCATGGAGTTGAGTAAGGAATAAGTTTGCTTCACAATAGTAGCAGTTAGTAATTTTTCAAATGTTGATGTCAGGGTATTTCTCCTTAGCAAAATGAAATATATTGAAATGGCTACCATAGATCCATATGGTTAGATGGATAACATTAAAGGTACATTATAGAAGTGAAATATTTTCATTTGATTATAATCCTTAATTTAGATAAAGATTATTATTTATTCAATTAATGTAACCCTGAAATATAAAATATAAACAGAGCTTTTATTTAGAACTGTGGACAATTGGATTCTAACCCATTAGCTTAAAGTTGATAGCTATGGCTAATAGACCTAGAATCCCTGGTTTCTTGAAAGTTTGTTTATGCAAACTACCAATGTATTGTAAAATAGTAAAAACTAGATTTATGTTATTCCTTGTATTCTCAATGATTCTTCAGTTTAACCAAATTTATGATGACCAATCTTCACTATAAATAATTCATGATTTTATTAATTAATAACTTACATTTTGGATAAACATTCTTAATTCTTCTGATTTGTTCAATTGTTCTTGTACAAAGAATTTCAATTATTGTATCTTCATCAGTATCAGTTCCTCTCATTGCTCTATGAAGTTCTATTGCATCAAATTCTGCTGGTGTATAGCACAACGCAATCAAACAATCTTTTAAACATCCGGTTAATATAGAATTAAATATGGCGAATAAATTGTCCTTATACAGAGATTTATATTTTTGTAGAATTGCTATACGTTGAACAACAGGTCGACGACCCATTACTTCAACGATTTCTTTTTCTCTTATCTTTAATCTATCCAGAGCACTGTGCAAACGTTCACAATCATGTTCAACACAGAAATTTCCTTTAGGTGTTAATGTTGGTTTCATCTAACATTAGAATAATGGATATTTACAAGTAAATTTTAGAATCAAACAATCTTTAAAAAATCCAATTAATTTACAAATAAATTTGGTAGGTAAATTCTTTCCGTACAGTGATCTATATTTTTGTAGAATAGCTATACGTTGAACAACAGGTCGACGACCCATTACTTCTATAATTCTCCGATGAGTTACCGAAAATTTTCATATATGATTCCCCCAATGTTCGCAATCATGTTCAACAGTGAGATCCGGTTCAACAGTAAGAGTTGGTTTCATCTAAGATCAAGGTGAATGGATATTGACAAATAAGTAAAATGTCAGTCAGCTACAACGTAGGATTGTTTAAATCAAATAATCTGCAATAGTGTTGATATATATCAAATTATTACTGTTTACCTAAAATAATATTCAACGTATTTAGATGAAGTGATTCCACAATAATGTAAACTCACTGAAAAAAGAAGCATGATAGTACAGTGACGTATTTTGGAAAGTAACTTGTGCATGCTAAAGGACTTAAAAATTTTGGTGGTGTTTTGTTCTCTGAGCTGGATGGTTTGGTCGTGGAGCTTTCATCGTTCTTCTGAACGACATCATCAGCACAAACTTCAGATAGAAGTGAAGTGTTCGAATTTCTCCATATGTGTTTCACAGCTTGTTCTGTGCACCTCGATGTTGATTGGTTCTTGTTGACCTTAAATTTATCTTTGTTTACTTCTTTGTTTTGGTTGTGTCTCCCATTGGTTTGATTTTTGTTCCTATATTTATGCATGATTTTCCTGATTGGTTGATAAATTGTATTGATTTCAATATGTTTGTTGATTGCTGATTGACCTGAGTGCCAAGCTTCTAAAAATTCTCTGGTGTTTTTGGAGTTTCCTCTGTCTAAGATTTCTACATTTTCCCAATCGACTGAATGCCCGTAGTTATCCACGTGTATTGATATAAGTGAAGAGATATCACGGCGTTTGACTGCTAATTGATGTTCATGTAGGCGTAGGTGGGGGGGGGCGTCCGCTTTGTCCGATGTAGTGTTTGTCGCAGTTGGTACAATTTATTTTGTAGATGATGTTTGATTTGTTTTCCTTTGTTATTTCATCTTTTGGTTTGCATAGGATTGATTGTAATGATTTTGTTGGTTTGTGTGCCACACCTATCCCGAAGGTTTTTCAGCAGTCTCGTTAGGGTTTCTGATATTCCTTGTATGTACGGTAGGGTGATCCTTTTGTTGATTTTTGTGCTTGATTTGGGTTCTGATGCTGTGTGCCTTTGGTGCTTTTTGATGAAGTTGATTGGGTAGCCGTTCTTTTGAAATATGTCCTTCAGGTATTTCTCTTCATTTTTTCGTGCTGCCAGTGTGTTGCAGTGTGTCCTCGCCCTTCTTCTAACTGAAAGTTCATTCAATTCACTTTCCTTGTTCAGAATAATAATAATAATTTAATGGTTGAATTCATTAGTTGATTTAATTTAGGGTACCCCAGAAAACTTGCAAAGATTGGAGGGCCGTTTCATCCAAGTATGTGACATTTTAGCAGGACGAAAAGACCGTGTAGTGCTTCCAAGTTTTCCAGGGTGGTCTAGCTTAAGTTGACTGATGAATTCGACCATTAAATCACTACAATTTCCACAAACCCTCATTCTGTCAATAATAAAAATTATTATTATTATTATTATTATCATTATGCTGAGGACTACTGAAGAATAAGAGTCGACATAAGGCTGCCAGTGCTGTTTCGACTCACCATTGGTTTAGTAAAAACATAATGTCATAGAAGTCGATATTCTGATTGGTAATTTTGTCACGTCATATTTGACGCATCATAGGACATGATAATAGGTTCAATTTCAATAAAATGCTTCAATGAAACCAATTAAATTGTGTTTCATAACCTCTATTAACCGAATCATCCACTACAGATATTATCTCATTCGTAAGATGGAGAAATGGAAATTGTGGTAAAATGTAACAAAAGTGATCAGTGATCTATTTGACATAAATGAAGGTATTAATATAATGTAAATAAATAAAGTACTAACTGTAGGGAATTAAATGAAGCATTCCAGTTTCAGAAATAAAAAATGATTTCCTCGTTATAAACCTCAAATAACCTATCGATATAAGTAAACATATACATACGTTTTAACATTTGATATCAGTTGACTGATATCAAATGTTCATCCGAACACTCATTACAAACACAGTTCAGTGGAATAGTATTCATCAGATCAATACCTCTGTAAGTTCCTATGACTGTTAACCGTTAATTAAGAATTATTTAGCAGCATCGTATGTTTGTACAGATATGCCTACTTTGTAGGATTCATTAAAGTCGGAATGGGGATTTGTGGAGAATGCAGCAATTTAGGCAGTTGAATTCATAAGTTGATCTAAGCTAAACCACCATTGCGATTTTGTAAGTACTGATGGGCCGTTTCATCTTAGTATGGGACACCTCAATAGTGCGCATCCACGATCCCGCGCACTGCACTAGAACCCAGGACCTTCAGTCTCGCGTGCAAACGCTTCACCTCTAGATGACTGAGCCGACAGCCAACGGTGGTAATGTCTAACATCAATCGATCCATGATATTGTGCAGCTCTTCATCCGTTGTCTGAGGTAAATAACTGTCTCCATACTACGACGAAACGATCGTCCTGTGTTTCCAGGTTTTGAATAGCGGTCTAGCTTAGATCGTCTCACGAATTCAACTATTAAGATTTATTATAAGTTCACAATTACACTGAAATAACTATCGAAATCTACTGAGTCTCTCTAAATAATTATTTATTTCGAGATGAGATATTGTGAGTTCTTGTAAGATTTCAGTTTGTCTTTTTCTGAAAAGCCTCACATAGTGAAATTTATATTTTCATCATTTCTTAACCACCGTATAGAATAAATAATTGACCGACTGAAAATAAGTTTCCATGAATCAGAATCTATGGAAATGTGGAGTTTGGAATTGATGTAAAAGAACACAACGGCCATTGGAAATACCAAAGTTAATAAGTCATAAACACAATAGTAATCAAAGTATTTCTAGACTAGATGGATATTCAGTATAGTGAATTTCAATTGCTAATCAAAAATGCATGAATAAATAATGAACAGAATAATCAACGAAAATGACTGGAAAAGTCATCCAGACGAAATCACTTATGCATATAACAACTTACTATATCTTCGTATGGAGCTGACTCACTATATCCAAATACTCTGGAAGTTCCAAAAAAGTCATTAAACTGACATGATGCAAGCAGAGGAACATTTGGAAAAACACTAGGTACACTCAAAGGTGTCTTATTAAAGTTTGTGTCTGATTGTCCGGAAAATTCACACAACGTAGTTTCAATTTTTCCATCCATATTTGAATTTATTGAGCTTCCTATCGATAAACAAGCATGTTCTAATGGAGATTTACCTAGATAATTTGTATTAGATTGTTGAGTCTCATTTGAGCTATCCACCAAAGAGAGATAAGAGAAATCTAAATCCATCTATTAATCTGATATACTTAGAGTGAGTGTGTTGTGCACAAAAACTGTTAATAGATTGATTTTTGTTTCGTCTAGGTCACTAGTGTGATGAGTCAATTGGCTGAAATGAAAATGTAACAGTAAGAGGATTGGTCAAGTTAGTCGAAAGAAACAAACAACTGGCCTTCACAATGTCGACAGCTTTTCATGGCATAAACAAAATACATTTTTCATCTGTTCCGAGTTATTTTGAAATTATCAGCCAGTATTATGATTATAGAAACATTTTTTAGAGGCTTTTAAGAAGTTCAAAAGTTTATTAGTTAATTCAATAACATTCCTCTCCGATGTCTCATCTTCAACACATGAATCAGTGTTCATCACTTCAAAGTTTTATTATTATTATTATTATTATTATTATTATTATTATTATTGTGAGTATATACTAGAATTCCTGGAGTTACATCTTAAATCTGATCACTAGTGAACACATGTTTATTATTAGCATAGAGGTCCTGAGTTTGATTGTCACGTGAAGTGTCGTGGATATCCACTGCTGAGGATTCCTATACTGACACGAAATGTTCGTCCAGTACTTTCAGGTTTCCAATGATGATCTAGCTAAGATCGGTCCGTCACCTAAAATATGAAAATGCTACAACGCCGACAAATGCCCTATACTGATCATTCTTATACCTCTTCTTACAAATTCTAATAAGACAACTTATTGCCGTAGTGAGTTCTGAATTTCCCACCTTTGGTCACGTTAACGGTTGGAGTTTTAGCTACACCATTTTTGTAAGTCATAATCGATGCCATGTCTTACACATTATCCGTTTTTTGCTGATTTTGTGATAATGCTGCAGTTGTTGATGTTTCAATTTCCGATAATTGTGCTGTTTGTGAAATGCGGTTCTTTCATTTTGTTGTAGTTATTTTATGAAAGAGGCTGACCACTTTAAGATTTTCCTCCAGAGTACACATATATCAATATCAGTTTCCAATGTCCTTACAATTATATCCAAGGAAACAACTAACCTAGTTTTTAAAAGTTGATTTTTACAAAGAAGTAAGTAATAAGAAGCCTTAATGATGTCAATAGTTTTTCGGGATTGCTATGTCGTTCGGACGCCAATCGATTTGAGTTATTGTTCACCAAACCATGATTTTCTTCCTATTTCGAAACCTTAATTCAAACCCTTATTATCCTTACCATTGTTGGCACATTTATCATCACAACATCAATCTCCACTTCTTCCTACTTATTACTTAGCTATTTAATTTATTTCACTATCATTATCTCACAAACTATCTTCTAATAAATATGCATATAAATATTACTGTATATTTAAACAATGACTTATAAAGATCTGACTGAGACAAATAAGGTTTGCTTATATGTTGAATTGTTCTACATTACAAGATAGGAATTTCCAATATTTCAAAGTATTTATATCTTAGACACTCTTATTAACTGAAAAGTAATTCCAAGGAGATAACTAAAGGAAATGATTACATATCAAGTTTCCTAGTGAATCTGATTTGATAAATCCGAACAGTCAGGAAGTTCCAGATAAAGTCATTTGACTGACAAGAAGTAGGATTATAAAAATAGAATGTTTGAGTTCTTGGTTTGTGTCTACTGGATTGATATGAAAAATCATTTATCTGATGAAATAAGTGGAAAATACTCTGTTAGAGGATATTGCAAACAAGAATCCTCTGCAACGTAGGGACTCTGTATTCGAATTTCAGAATCTATTTGTAAACTAGTTGTACCTGTCACATAAGTGCAGTATTCCCATAAGAAGGATTTATATAACCTAGTTGAGTTGAAAATGAAGCAGTCGAATTAGTTAAACAGTCACCAGAAAAACCATCAGTCTCACAGCAAGGTGTAATAATATAATCTCCATCTGATTATCGAAGAAATTTATACTATTTGTCCTCCTGAATATATTTTTGTGATTTGATTTGTAGAATTTCCCGGTGATGATTCAGGAGGTTGTGCAAATAATATTCCTCGATAACCCTCATCAGTTATCCCTGAAAATACCCCACAAGATATACAATTATAATTTGCATTTGATTGTTATTGTTCGTTTAAGTTCCAGAATGAACAATCAGAAAACCTCTGATCGATCTGTCAAGTAGATAAAATTAAGTTGAAAATGATTAGCATGAAACCGGCAATTAAAATCGTTTTTTCAATAAGATCACTTTTGTGACTAGCTAATTGGTTAAAATGAAGTAAATAGCTTTATAAGGATTGGTTAAATTGACTAATTAAAATGTGAGATGATCTTCACAACTTTCATGATCAAAATTGGGTGGACTTTAAACTAATTTTAACTATGTTTTCTTGTTATAGCCACTCAATTATCACGTTTTGTACAAAATTCCCTAAGAACCGTTCGTACGTTAGCATTAAGCACTGGAGTTGGCGCCGTATCCTTGAAATCTCTTAAACCCTTCTGATTGGCTCGTTCATAAATTAGAGTCTCTCCCAATAAATTAGTTACGATGTGTCGATAAGTTATATTGTAGATATGGATAGTGTTATAACTTGTGGCCTGAGTGCCCTGCTAATGTAGAACGTAATGATACCGCTAATTAGAGAGCAGTGAATTATCGATCGGACTAATGACGTCTAAAACCCATGCGAGCAGTCTTTAGTACCTATCGGTCCTGCTTCCTGTCTGCCCCAGCCAGTTAAGTCCAGAACACCAATCTCAGCCTCTACAATATAAATCATGTATTTCAAACGTGCGGGGTTTATATATCAATCAAACAGACCACATCGTACCAGATAGTCAACGAATTGTATATACAACAAAGCTTGTTAGTTTGTAATTACTGAAGATCTACGTAAGTTAGATATATGAGACATTTTTCACAGTTGAAGTTACGAGTCGATCTAAGCTAGACTACCATTGATGACCTGGAAGCATTGGAATGCCGTCTCGTTCTAATATGAGACTCCTGAGCAGTGTGCACTCACAATCCCACATAAGGGACTGAAACTCAGGACTTTAGAACTTGCTAGCATACGCCTAACCTCCAAACCACTGAGTCTGCATCCAACGGTGTTGATGTCTATCTTCAATCCCTATATTAATATGAGAAACTGTCAGAACTGTTTGGTAATCATTTTTATTTGAATGAAACACTACTTAGTTGTAGTAAGTAGCATAAATATCAACCTCAAAATAATCAGATGGGCGTCAGTTGTTACATGTTTAAACATAAATATACATTATTATATTAGACCGTTAGTTATAAATTAAGGGATGATGTGAATAGGGATAATTAATAAGTAGAATAGTGGTGGGTTAACTTGGAAATTACTTATTGAATTTTAAAGATGGTAGTATTCATGTACATCCAGCTGACGAGTGCCAAATAGGACGAAAAGCGCGTTCTGGATTCCACTGCTAGCCACTACCCATCTTTGTTTATAATGCTTGTGATTTAAGGTAATGTTGAGGCAATCCACACAGGGTGTACACATTCCAACAAGAGGTTGGTCAATTGCAGTCCTAAATAACAATGAGAAGATACAAGCAAACAACACCAAGTGAATTTAGTATTACAATTGTTTAGAAAATCAGAATAGTGATGATATTAGACAATATTTGTAGTAATGCCTTGGGTCGGAATTCAGATGACACAAATATTTCATTTGACCATTTAGTTCGAACTTCTTCAGTATTAATTTAAACTGAACAGGAAATTAATAAATACATTCTTTGACTAACTATGCATCAGTTCACAATTTCACGCATGAAAATTTGATAATCATGTTTATTATTCTGAATGTTTTTTGAAAAATGTACTAAATGGTAGTTTGAACTTTTTATTGTACTATTAATGATCTGGGTCAATGAATAAAGTATAAATCAAATATGTACTTGTTAATTTATCTGATTTATTCCATTGTAACTAGGATGATTATCAGGGAGTTTGGATAAGAGAGATCATGAAGGAATTACAAATAATTGTAAATCGAAACCTTGTTAATTTATCAATATATTGATGGATTCAACTAAGAAGCTGATACTTACAAACTTGATTTGATGATTGTACAGTCGTCTTATGTTCAAACAATATCCAAGTTTACTTTATTCATATTCATAGTTCTATTAACTATCGATTTCCGTATAAATTATGGGACATATTATAAACCATGTTATAACAATTTGTTTATTTACTACTGAATAAATTCACTGTCAAAATTGTACAAATTACTGAATGGGTAGTTGTTTTTACTGAAACAGAAATATACATATCTATACTTGCAGTATAACTCCGCCTGGAGCCCCTCTGGGGCTACTGCCAGTCTTAAACCCGGATAAAGGAGGAGGGTTGAGCAAGGAGTGAGAAACCCCATTCCATAGAAAAGTAACTCGCTAAAAAATGCTAACCAGAAAAAGTAATTCTAACCATTTAAACTACTCCCTGGGAGATAGAAGGCCTTCATTTAGAAGAGTTATGACGCCTCATAGTGAAAGCCGAGTTCCATCGGCAGTCACGAGGCTGATGCCTCTTCCGAAAACTAGTGCAACCATTAAGTTAGGTACATGGAATGCTCGTACAATGTGGATGACCGGAAGAGTCATCCAAATTGCTGAAGAAATGAAAATATACTTTTGCATTATGATTAGCATTGGAATACGGAATAAGAGTTTTGTCTAATTTCAAACTTTTTCACAGTTGTATATAACTCAATCCCTGTGTTGATATTTACACTACGACTTGAAGTAGATCGAAGTAAAAAGATTCACTTTTTTTCTACCGAAGGTAAACATGTAGTTAATTTTACTTGATTGTTAAAAATCAGATGACATTTTGATTATTTGAAGAAAGTAGTTTTTTATGATTAAATGACGTCAAATGGAAAATCTCTATTCACTTCCACTTAAAGATCCCTCATCAACGTGAACTTAAAACCTTAGACATGATCAAATGTATATCTCCAAATGTTGGTTACACGCGCAAACACCCAAACTTAAGCTAACGTA